ATTTCTTGCCATTCCCATCTGGCCTGCATGGTTTCTGTTGAGAAATCAGCTGACAATTGTATAGGTGCTCCTTTATAGGTAACTACCTTCTTTGCTCTTGCTGCTTTGAATATTCTCTCTTTGTCTTTTGCTCTTGGAATCTTAATTATGATTTGTCTTGGTGTGGTCCTCTTTGGATTCCTTTTGTTTGGAGTTCTGTGCACTTCCTGGACTTGTAAGTCTAATTCTTTCTCCAGGTGGGGGAAGTTTTCTGTTACTATTTCTTTCAGTATGTTTTCGATATCTTGCTCTCTCTCATCTTCTGGGACCTCCATAATTCTGATGTTGGTTCGCTTGAAGTTGTCCCAGAGGTTTCTTACATTATCTTCAATTTTCTGGATTCTCTTGCCTTCTAGCTTCTGTGGAGGAGTGTCTTCTGGCTCTTTATGTTCCAAATCTTTGACTTAATTCTTGCGATCTTCCATTCTATTTTTAGGACTCTATAATATTTTTTATTTCAGACAATGTATTCTTTATTTCTTGTTGATCCCTTATCATTTCTTGTTGATTCCTTATTAATTCTAGTTGATCCCTTTTCATATCCTCATAGGTCTTATCGATCTTTTCTAGGAAATTCTTAAAAAACCTTATAAGCATAGATTTGAACTCTATATCCAGTCACTTTTTCTCCTCCATTTCTTTTGTTTGTGATCTATTTCATTGTTGCATTTCACAGCTACAGATGGGGCGGGGTTTCAGGGTGGAGCCTACAGCCTTGGCTTCCATCAGCCCCGCCCTATGCGGCTCCTGAGTCTCAAGGTCCTTCAGTACTCGCTGCAAGCGCCTCTTGCGAGAAAGGTGCCTTCAATTTTTGCCTGCTACCAAACAGTCTAGGCTCTCCCCCAATGAGCCTGGTATTGGGGATCAGTTCAGTTGGAAGTGGAGTTGGAGGTGGCGTTCAGAGCAGTCCGGAGCCCCAGTCTCCTTTCTGCCAGGGCAATCCCGCGGCACAGCCAACCATCCCTTCTCTGTGTGCAATGTGCGCGCCACCAGGACCTCCTTTCGCTGCTCCCCCGGGGTTCCGCCTTACAGCCTAGCTCCCTGTGGATGAGCCTGGGTCCCCGGGGTCTGGCCTAGAACTGGGGTTCAGAGCAGTCGGAACTGGGGCCCAGCACAGTCGGAGCTTTTATCTCCTTCCCGTTAAGGAACGCCAGCCAGGCACTCAGCCTCCCTACTTTCTGGCTCTTTCCGCACGCCGCTTGTCTCCGTACCTTAGGCTTTTACAGCTCCTCCGCACTTCCTTCTGTTTTTTTCCTTGCTTCTCATTGTAGAATTTTCAGTCCGACTTTCCTGTAGTTCTGGGTAATGTCCATTTTATATTTTAGTTGTATTTTATTGAAATTGTTGTGTGCGGCTAGGTGTTTACCTCGGCAGCCATCTTGGATTTCCCTGCCTCCTTTTTTCAACTTACCTGAGGAAAAAACACATTCAGAGTGCATGTTGCAATCTGAGGATTAAGAGAGGAGCCAAGAGGAGAGATGAGGGGGAAGACAGACATTTTCTCTGCATAAGAACAGGGACATTGGTGGCACCAGAAAGGTTGGGCCAAAAGGAGGGCAGAGTGGACAGAGGCTTCATCACCCCCAGTGTCAAGTTGGGTGAGAAGGCCGGGCAGGCGGACCTGCAGCCACAGGTGAGCACCAAGGTGGGGTCTGGACTGGACCCAGCCTGCGCGGAACTCATTTGCTTTTGGCAGCTGTAACTTCGTTTTCAAAGGGCAGGAGGCGTTGTTAAGAGAAGCCTCTCCCTGCTTACTGGACAGCAACTATTTCTCACAAAACACTATTTTTGCTGCATTCAGTGGAGATGAATCAGATGCCAATGGAACCAATTTATTTTATACAAAACAGAGTTCTGTGATGATGGGAAGGTCCTTGAGAGGCCAGTGGGTTTTGCTGAGAGCAGAAGCATAAATGAATCATTCCAAGATGTTAGACAAAACCCCACACACCCAGTTTCCCCCTAGAGATGGCACGGGTGCTTCGCCCCTCGGGAAGAGCAGCAGGTGGGCTGCAGGCCCACCACTCCTCAGGGACACATCCTTTCAATAAAGTCTTAGCAACACTTCATCTCTTCATCTTCGAGGTCTGTTTCCGTGTTGGAAATGCCACTCCACCAAAAGCAAGGCTCCAGTCCTGCCCTACCTCATCTCTAATCCGAGCAATGGTGCTCTTGCAAGGAAACCTTGCTTCTAAGGTTTCCAGCCTGCTCTCCATGCTGGCTTTGGCGTGGCTCATGGGTATCACCAGTTTCAAGCCACGGCCCCATTTCAGTCCGTGAGAACATTGGGAAGAAATTATCTGAATGTTTGCTCAAAGCTCCAGCTCGGTCCAGGGGATTCAAAATTCTCTCGTGTGTCCAGCAACCTGCTGGGGCCATCTGAAGAGGGTCTCTCCTCCCTTCCCTCCCCCCCCCCCCCAACCCCGCAGGGGAGTGCTGGGTGAAAGCATCCTGGTCGTGAATGAGAATTCAGGCACGACAAAGCTGACACAGGTGAAGAAATGGGATGAGAGGGAAGCAGATGGCATCCAGATGTTCCCAGGTCATCCTCTACACAGTGGTTCTCAACGAAATGATTTGACCCCCAGTGAGTAGAGGGAAGATGCTGCTGAACATCCCACAATGAGGAAGTATTTGCCCAAAATGTCATTCGTGACAGAACCTTAGAGAGAAGAGGGCTCTGAAGCAACCGAGCAGAGCCCAGCGCCAGCCAAGCCGTACCTGCAGGTGACCCTGTCCTCGGTCCTAAAGGAATGTCGGAGTGGGGTCTGTCTCTGTGGCTCCACAGCCTCCCAACCAGCCCGAAGTGGGGACTCAGCCAGGCTTCCACAGATTGTGCCACGGGAAGTTTAAGAGAGGGAAGATGCCTCACTCAGATCACAACCATCCAAATGGCGAACAAGCAAAGGGTTTATAGTTTCTATGTCACATCGAGAAACATGAAGGACAGCTTATTGTCCCCAAAAGCTCCCCAAAAAATCACCCACCAGTCTTCCTTCCTTCCCACCCCACCCCTGGAGCTCCTCCAGCCCCCTTTACCTCCGAAGGAGGTGCCACCAGAAGGAAGGGTAGTGAATCAATAGGCTGGCCTGCTGGGCGGCCACCCGCTGCCTGCCTGTGCCCACACTGCCTCTTTGTGTCTCAGTGAGTTCCCCACTTCCCCTTCTGCAGATGGTTAGCTGCTTCGATTGTTTCCCTCTCAGAACCAGTCCAAACCACAGGGCTTGGCACCACCTTCAAAACTCCCATTTGCCAGCGTCTGTTTATCAGATCCAAGGCGTGCTCTCAGGGGCTGATGGGCTGACAGGAGCCCAGAGGGAAGTCCAACTGTTATATAAGGCCGCATGGAGCCCCTTTCATTTTCCCAGACCTGGCCCAGAGGTAAAGTGCTTTTGGAAACAGCAAGGTGACTGGCAAGATGGCTGGCTCAGACTGAAGGACAGTCACTTCTGCTCCAGCCTTCCTGCTCCTGGCTCCAGGCTGAGGGTCCCAGTGGGCGGCAGTGGAGGGGAGGGGCAGGATCACACACAGTAGCCTGAGTGATCTCTTCAGAACGTAATCTGGCCATGCAGGGGGCCTGCTAAAGCCCATCACCAGCTATGCTGTGCACAGCGTTCCTCAACCTGGTCCCCTGGACCCCCCCTCCCTGCATCTCACCTCCCACCACCCCACCTCGCTCATGTCACAAGCTTATGTGGCCCTCCAGCACTCATCCCTCCCTCAGTGCTTGCGCCCATGCTGGGCCCTCTGCCTGGAACACTGCACCCTCTCTGTGCTTTGCAGCTCCACTAGCTAAGCCATCCCTGGCCCCAAGACTGAGGGACCACCTCTTGCCTCCCCTTCCCAACATCACAGAAGAAGCACTTGATCAATATTTCTGAATTCCTCCCAAATTCCTGCACTGCGGTCCCCTACAGGCAAGTAATCCAAACAAAGGTGATTGCTCTTTCTAGGCCCAGCCTTGGCTCCCCCGTTTGCTTTATGGTCTGTCTTCCTTGCTTAAGAGTCATCTGGGCAGCAAGCCAGCTTCTAGAGGAAGATCTGGAAGCAAGAATTTGAATGCAAGGCACCTTGAACCAGCTACCACCCGAGAGACCAAAATTAATGAAGCTGGGACATTAGGAGTTGCCCCAGGAGGTTCAGGCACCAGTCCTGTCTGTAGCAGAGGACTATTCCTGGGCAGGGGAGGGGGTTTGATCCCCGGTACTTTAGCCTCCCTGCCCAAGTAAGCCAAATCTGACACAAAAAGGCCTTGGACAAAGACATGCCACTCTGGCAGGTGGGAGCTGGTTGGCTGGTGTGTGCTGGCATAGGCAGGGCGAGGGGACATGCCCTTGTGGGCCACCCCAGCAGACCTTCACCTCCCTTCATGTCCAAAGCACAAAGGGTCAGTGTCCCTCAGTCACTGCTGATGGTGCCTTCCACACTGACCTTTGGTCCCATCCTACACTGGCTACCAGCACATCACCTTCGCTGACTTGGAGCAGTCGGACAAGTCACACCCATCCTCTGGCTGGCCAGGAGGTGAAGGCTGAGGGCCCTTACCTGCTGCCTATGTGCTAACGGCCCCATCATACACCCCCTGGTGATATAAACCTTCTGTTGTCCATGTTCTTGCTTACAACCTAATGCCTCCAGCTATTCCGTTTCTGAAAATGCAAGCATTCTGCTCATTTAAACTTAGTGGCATAACCATGAGGGTTTTGTTTCCAGGCACCTTTTGTGTGATCTTCCCATGTACCTGATAATAAACATCTGAAATGAATGAAGGGCCAGATGAGTGAATGGCGCTGTCACTGGTTTCCTGACTCCAGCCCAGTGGTTTTGCCAATGTTTGCAAAATCAAGCAGGTAGAGATGGTTCTATGGGGGGAGGGGAAACTCCAGACCTGGCCCCTTCAGGCCACTCAACCACACCCAAAAGAAAGCAAAGAGCCCACCCTACAACTGTTTGTGCACTTACCAGAGTCAAACATCACGGATCCAGACACGACGCTGGGGCCCTCGTCCTTCCAAAGGCAGGACTCTCTCCCAGCAGCCCTGCCAGCTCTGGCTACTGCTGCTCTGGCTTGTGGATTTTTGCAGGAAAGAGCCTAAAGTGAAACAGAAATCTCCAGAATTAACACCATGTCATCCCATTCTTAGCACATTTCTTTAGGAATTAAAACAAACATAAAGATGAAGGTGGAAACGTTCCTTTTCTCTTTTCTGTTGCGTGGCTCCTGAGGACACAACTGGCCTCGTCTGTGTATAAACTGATACCCAGATACCTACAGAGACCAGTGTCTTCCCACTTGCCATGTATGAGGGGTCCCCTGCAGGCCTCACCCTGCGCTGGAAGCTTTGTTGCCTTTTCTCATTTAACCCAGCACCTGCAGAAAGGGATGGGGAAGACACTGAGCTTACAGCACTTTGGTACAAACTTGACAAGGTACTGGGAGGGCTCAGGACCAGTGTTCTCAGAGCCAGTAGCCTGGCTGAATGCAGCAATGACACAAACATGTGTGTGTGCAGGAACACAGGAACACACAGAGCTGCCACCGGCTGAGTGCCCACAGCACACCACATCCTGGGAACACAGAGAATAAACAGGGGCCCCCTGAGTGCTCACCATGTCCCATAGATCCGGCCTCAAGCCTAGGACTTCACAGCTGCTGCTCTTCGGAGCTGCTGGGATGCAGTGAGGTCCTCGGGGCTCAGTCCCTCTCTCTCTTTGCCTCTTAGCCCTGTGCAATTTCAGAATCGCCTACCCTCTCCTTCATGCCCTTTTTACTCATTCAATCATTCATTTACTGGACATTTTCTGAGTTAACTTCCATGTACCAAGAGCTAAGCACTTGCCCAACACAAATTAAAACAAAAACAGCCCAGACAGCCTAGTAGGCCCTCACAGAAGTAGGCAGCATCCACCCTGGTAAAAGTGACTTCATTCATTCATTTCACAAATAGGTACTCAAAGCCAGAAGCTAGGAACCTTATGCTGAGCAAGCAGGCATGGTCCCTGCCCTCACTTCACCAAAAAGCAATGTAACATAGTGGTTAAGAACGTAGGACCTGGGGCCTGTGTTCACATCCCAAACTCTTCCTCTTTCCAGCTGTGTGTCTTTGGGCACCTTACTTAGCCTCTCTGTGCCTGCATTTAAACAGGAAGTCATTATAGTCCCTTCCTCATAGACTCTATGAGACTTAAGAGAATAAATGAAATAGGAAGTATTTAGAAGAATGTCCAGATAGAATGAGAGGAGAAACCATGATGGCGGCATCAGGCAGACACCCGAATGCAGCCTACCACAACAAATTTGAATTTAGAACTGAAAAACAAGGGAGGCATTGCCTTGAAGCACCGGATGGCTAGTTGAGAGGAGGCTCTGCCATCTGGGAAGGAGAGAGAAGGCACACTGAGCCTCAGGAACTGTGAAGGTACGGAGAACTGTGTGCGTGAAAAGGTGCTGGCTTATTCCTGGTGCAAGGAGAGGAAGGGCCGGACTGAGATTGCTGCTGGCTTACTCCCGGCGCGGAGAGGGCGGACAGCTAATGCGCAGCTGGCTTTCTTGTTCAAGAGGAAAACAGAATCACCCTATTGCTCTGATAGACAGCCCAGACAGGGAGAAGCCAGACTGTCAGGCAGTGGGCAGAGATCTCTCGGAGGTGTGTGAAACCAGAGGCCATTACTGCGGGACTTGAGGAGGAGCCGAAGGGAAAACAAAGTTTGTCTGCACCAACCCGAGACTCCGCCCCATCTGTGGTTGAGCACAGAAGCTCTCCCAGAGGCTGGCTTTCTCTAAGGAGGGACTGGCTGGAATCCAAAGCTTGTCTGCGCCTTTACCAAAGAGGTGTGCGTGCCTGCAACCAATCTTCCAAAACTCTCCAAGAACAGGACTTTTCTAAGGCGAGACTGACAGGGAACCAAAGATTGTCTGCACCACCCTGAGACCCCGCCCTATCCAAGCGGAGTACAGAAGCCCTCCTAGCTGAGACACTGCTGATCCTCACAGCCAATTGACTTGGAGATCAACGCTTCCCAGTGATATCAACAATAAGCAAGGCTTAACAATAAAACTGCACACACAGCCCACAAAAGGCTACACCAAGACTGTCCACCACAGGTAACTGGGAAGGCTGTGCTACTGGGCTCTACCAGAACACCTAGCACACAAAGCTATTCCATCAAATCAGGGAAACAACTAAAATGCAGACAAGAAGAAGGACACAAAGGAAGGAGATGGAGGAAAAGAAAAGATTGGACATTGAGTTCAAAACTACAGTTATAAGGTTATTCAATAATATCCTAAAAAAGGCCTATAAAATAAATTAGACCTATGAGGATATGAAAAGGGAGCAACTAGAAATAATAAAGGATCAACTAGAAATGAAGAAAACATTGCCTGAAATAAAAAATATTATACAAAGTTCTAAAAACAGACTGGAAGATTGCAAGAGTCAAGACAAAGATTTAGAACACAAAGAGCCAGAGGACACTTCTCTGCAGAAGGGAGAAGATAAGAGAATCCAGAAAGTTGAAGATAGTGTAAGAAACCTCTGGGACAATTTCAAGCGAACCAACATCAGAATTATGGGGATTCCAGAAGAAGAGAGAGAGCAAGATACCGAAAGAATACTGGAAGAAATAGTGACAGAAAACTTCCCCCACCTGGGGAAAGAAATAGACTTACAAGTCCAGGAAGCCCGCAGAACCCCAAACAAAAGGAATCCAAGAAGGACCACACCAAGACACATCATAATTAAAATTCCAAGAGCAAAACACAAAGATAGAATATTAAAAGCAGCAAGAGAAAAGCAGGTAGTTACCTATAAAGGAGCACCCATACGATTGTCAGCTGATTTCTCAACAGAAACCATGCAAGCCAGATGGGAATGGCAAGAAATATTCAAGGTGATGAATAGCAAGATCCTACAGCCAAAAATAATCTACTCAGCAAAGCTATCACTCAGAATCAAAGGACAGATAAAGAGCTTCACAAATACAAAAGCTAAAAGAGTTCATCACCACCAAACCAGAATTATATGAATTGCTGAAGGGGGTTATTTAGGAAGAGGAAGAAGATAAAGATAAAAATTATGATCAACAAATACATAACTATCAACAATTGAATCTAAAAACCAAGGGAATTAAAAAATCTGATGAACAATATTAACTGGTGAATATATCGGGTCTAGTAATAATTAATGTCGTTTTAAAACATTTGTTTAAAATCTTGCTTGGCGTTGACTTGTATTGACATAACCTTCAAACACGTGGTATCTACAGAACGTGTGAAGTGCAATTAACAAGTTTTGCTTGAAAAAGTTGGTGTTTGGTTTGGTTTTTGTTGCAAAACTAGGGCTAAGAAGATGGCGGATGAAGAGCATATTCGGCACTGCATGCTTTACGAGTTCCAATTAGGAAGAAAAGCAAGTGAGGCTGCAAAAAACATCTGTAGTGCTCTTGGTCAAAATGCAGTTAGCGCCAGAAAATGCCAGCGTTGGTTTGAGAAATTTCGCGAGGGAAATTTTTCGTTAGATGACAAGAGTGGCCGTGTGTCCAATTTTGATCAAGAAGCTCTTCAAGCTCTTTTGGTGCAAAATCCTCAAATTACCCAACAAGAGCTTGCGACAACTTTAAATTGTTCACAAAAAACTATTTCCAATCAATTGCGTGCACTTGGCAAAGTCCAAAAGTTTGGAAAATGGGTTCCTCATGAGTTGGCCGACAACAACCGTAATCAAAGAGTCACAATTTGCAGTTCGCTCCTCTCTCGTCAAAACCGTTTGCCGTTTTTAGAGCAAATTGTTACCAGAGATGAAGAATGGGTGCTGTATGTTAATTTGAAAAGGCGGCCTCAATGGTTGGACAAAAATGAGGCTCCGCAGCCCACGCCAAAACCTGACTTGCATGCGAAAAAAGTGATGTTGTGTGTTTGGTGGAATTTTAAAGGAATTCTTCATTATGAACTTTTACCATCTAACCAAACCATTACAAGTGCAGTGTATAGTGCCCAATTGGAAAGGTTAGCCCAAGCTTTAAGAGAAAAAGAACCCGCGCTGATTAATCGGAAGGGCGTAATTCTTCACCACGATAACGCACGACCGCATACTGCAAGAATCACTGCTGAAAAACTGCGCCAGTTGGAATGGGAAGTTCTCCCTCAACCTGCATATTCTCCTGATATTGCCCCTTCTGATTACCATTTGTTTCGTTCTTTGCAAAACTTTCTTCTTGGAAAAAAATTTAATAATGAAGAATGCCTCAAAAATGCATTGACCGAATTTTTTGCATCAAAATCACAAGAATTTTACAACAGAGGGATTAAAATGCTTCCTGAGCATTGGGCACAAGTAGTAGAAAACAACGGCAACTATTTTGTTGATTAAATTTTGTTGTATTGTTTAAATAAATTCGATTTAAAAAAGTATTAGAAAACGACATTAATTATTACTAGACCTATAATCAGAGGTATGGAAGGGAAGTGGACTGACGATTCTCAGGGGAAAAGGGGAGTGGGGGCGAGGGAAGAGACTGAACAAAAACTGTGCACCTATGGATGAGGACAATGGGGGATGGGGAAAGGACAGAGGGTAGGGTGGGAACCTGGTGGAGGGGAGCAATTGAGGGGGGAAAGAGGATCACATTTGTAATAATCTGAACAATAAAGAGTTATTAAAAAAAAGAAGAAGAAGAAGAATGTCCAGCACGTAGAAGCACCCAATAAATGTTAGTGTGATCATTTCAAACAAGTGGAGAAGATGGACGTTAACAAGAAAATACATGATTCCAAACGGTCATAAATGAGTGGCAGGATAGAACCTTCCCACCGGCTTGATACAACCCCTGATAGGCAATCCTTGCCTTTTCTTTGCTTTTATTCCTTTTCCTGTGTTTTTAAGAGGAGGCAGCAACAGCTAGCCCTCACACCCACAGCCCCCTTAGGAAGGCAACTTGTTCCCTCACTGAAGCAGCATACCCCCTCTCCAGTGTCTAGGAGGGGTGCCCAGGTTTGGTGGTGAACAACTTGGCTTTGTTGGTATGAACCTTCAAGGTCTATGGCGAAAGAGAAGAGACATAGTGTTTTGGAGAGCTGGAGAGGACTAAGGCAGATGGGTGCTAAATCAGGGCAAGGGGCTCCCCTAGTTCCTGATCTTGCATTGCATACTCACGTATTTTCCATCGGAGCCACTCCATGACAGAGTTGGGGGACAGCCCTGTGCCTCTTGCTCCCTGACATCCCTGCAGCACCAGAACCGTGGTACATGGAAGTGCATGCTGAGAAACGAATGAGGCAGTGAGTGAGTGAAGGAGGGATGAACTACCAGCACCTGGGGCACTGGGCAGGGTGGGGAGCGGAAGCCCCTGACTTATATGTGGGGGGCAGGTTGAACCCCCATGCTGGGCGCTGGCTGGTGTGAGGGAAGGGCCATGCTATGAGGGCAGGGCCATGCCTGACATAACCCTTCCCAGGGGCAGAACCCCTGTCAATCCCAGTAAGGCCCCTTCTCTCACACTGTCCTGGTGATAGGCTTGTTTTATTTCTAGAAGCTTCTTTCCCCCCCTCCCACCCCTGACCTCATTCAATTGCCCAGAAGCCTCTCTAGCACCTTTCTGAGTTTTGAACATCTGTGCATCTGGTTATGTGCAGCCATCACTGACAAGCTTCTGCTACCTGGCAAAATCACACCCCAGGAGTGAGAACGGCCTTGGTCAGGGCCCCGCAAAGGTGAAGCTGCCTGCAGCCCTGGAGACGCTGCTGAGAAGGGGCTTCCCCCAGGTCTGCAGCTGGTGTGTGGGCAGAAGGCTTCAGCTACATGCTTCACCCTCCCTCTCAATTTCTGTAAACCAGCTCCTCTGTTAAACCAGTGCCTGGTCCCTGAACCCTGGCAAAGCTGCCTCTGTGCTTTGGTTGGTGGCAACTGGCTCGCTGCTGTGCGCTATCCAGAGCTGCACACCAGTGGCCTAGAGTTCTCAGCTCATGAGATCTCTTCCCACTCAATCCTGAAACTAAACAGCAGGCAGCAGTAAGCTGGAGCGAGACAGTAGGTGCCCCCTCTAGATGGTAAGACATCAGTTTACCCCAGACCTCACCACTCCCTATCACTCACCAGTGTAGAACAGTGATTTTTCAATCTTTTCTTCTCAAGACACACATAAACTAACTACTAAAATTCTAAGGCACATTAAAAAAAAATTTGATTTTGCTGATCTGACAAAGAAAAATAGGTGTCATTTTTATTCAATCACACCCGACTACTATTGTGTTGGCTGCCATTTTTTTATTCAACAATCTAAGGGAAAAGAGATCAGTGCTCCTGAATAAACCATTAGGTACTGTATGTTTTAAAAATTCCTGTGAGCCAAAACCAGTTTGGCTCAGTGGATAGAGCATCAGCCTGAGATCTGAAAGGTCCCAGGTTTGATTCTGGTCAAGGGCATGTACCTTGGTTGCAGGCACATCCCCAGTTGCAGGAGGCAACTGATCAATGTTTCTCTCTCATCAATGTTTCTAGCTCTCTGTCCCTCTCCCTTCCTCTCTGTAAGAAATCAATAACATATATATATTTTTAAAACATTCCTATGGCACATCAACTAAAAATCGCTGGTCTGGAGATTTGCTCCCTGCCAGGTGCTGTGTACCAGCACAGTGTTTCTCCTGATAGGGTGAGTTAGTTTCTTTCTTCCTTCTTTCCTTCCTTTTATTCATTCTTTTGTTTCCTCTTTCATTCATTCATTTGTACATTCATTCACTCATTTATTCAACAAGGTGTCTTGACTGTTTACCATGAGTCAGGCACTATTCTCAGCACTAAGTATATAGCAAGGAACAAGACAGCAAAAATATGAGGGAACAAACAAAAAGACAAAAAGCAAGGCCTGTGGGAGCTACTGGAGCTGGGAAAGAGTCTTCCCTGGAGCCATCAGAGGAAGGTGTCCCTGCTGACACCTGCATTTTGGACTTCTAGCCTCCAAAGCAATGAGAATACATTTCTGTTGTTCGAAGTAACCCAGTTTGTGGTCATTTTTAAAGAAGCCCCAGGAAATTCACACAGCACTCACCCTGCCCCACCGTGGCTTCACCCCATGAAGGGAATCCTGTGCTCTTAGGATAAAGATGAGTCTCACCTTGGTTTTCAGACTCCCACACCCCATCCTCATCTCCCATCCCATCTTCCTGTGCTCCAGCCTTCTTTTTGTTCCCGGTTTTTCTATGTTCTCTCCCCCCACTCTCCCTTAAAAGGGTCTAGGTGACAGGGAGAGGGATGGGACCCTGAGGCTCAGTTCCTGACACACCAGTTCCCCAGGGGACTGCATCGAACCAGAGTGAAGGGGAACCCTGGAAGGGAACTTGGCCCCATTGCTCACTGATTTTTCCAGAACTTTCCATGTGGTTTCAGTTTCTGAGTACCAGCCCAGAGCCCTTCGCTCTGAAAGGTTTACCTGCAAAGCTGGCCTTATATGGATTTTTTAAAGAGCGTGTCTGTTTTAGCTCCAAACTCTGAACATGACCTGTTGGGCATCTTCCATCTGGCACCTCAACAACCACATTCTGTGACTTCCAGGTCCTCGCACATCCATGGTTTTGCTTTCTCACCGTGAAAGGCCCTTTGTTGCTCTCAGGAAGTGTCACGGTAACAATGGACAGTTAACTCCACTCCTCTCTGGGCTGGACCCAGGCCAGAGGGGATGGGAGGCAAAGGGCCATCAAGGTGGGGTCACTCCTCCGGCTAGAGTGTAAGCCTCATGTGGGTGGGCCTCCCTCTGCTGCGCCCCAGGCGCAGTAAGCTCATTATGGAGGACGTCTCTTGTTCCACACCCAGCATCCACTTAGCTCTCTCTACATTCCTCAGTGACTGACCCTGATCCTAAATTTCTCTGGCTCAGCCCAAGGGGAATATGTAAAAACCACAAGCCAGTCAGATCATTCTGTCCCATGGTTCAGGGATAAGCATGGGACCCAATCAGAGCCAACAACCCACAAAGTGATTGTCTCTGAGGCTTCTAAAAGTGCTCCCTGCCTCCTAGTTCTGGAATCCGGAAGTTCGTGTTGGCCTGAAGCAGCTGGCAGGCATCTCCTTAGACTGAAAAGCGGGACCAAAGAGGGGAGAACTTGGTCCTTTCTCTGTTCTGAAAGTTTGGACCCAGCTCACCCGAAAGCCAGATCTGATTCAGTCCCTGGATTATTATTGTTCTATAAGTCATTCATTCTTTTTTTTACCCCCTTAAATTAGTTTGGATTGGGGTTTTTAACATATGTAACCAATAATAGGCCTGTCCAATTATGTGAGTGAATGAATAAAGAACTCACCTCCAGTTCAAGCCAATGGGTATTTTCAGCACCCTGCCCATCTATGGGAACACAGCCTCTGCTCAAAGCTGGGATAGGTTCGGACCCTGCCCTAAGAGTTCAGAGTTCAGAGTTCAGAGGCCTCCAGGCCCTAAGTTGACCCCAATCCTCCCATTCTCTGTCCTGTGAAAATCCCAAGTTTCCCTAGGATTTCTGTGAATTCCAACTGGTCTGGTCTTCCCGAGGGCCCCTCGGATCCTGAGATTCTGAGTCCTCTTCACTGAGTTAACATGGGGATGGATCCTCCCGCTGCCTCGGTGTGTCCTCTCTTCCTTGCCATGAACAGCGACATAGGGAATTCAGCCTGGACTTCCACCACATCCCCCTCTCCAATCTCCTGAGGCATTCTCAGGGACAGGCATTTCTGGACTCGGGGTGTGCGACTACAGCTTAGCCAGCAAAGAGCTTCTAACAGATCTTTAGACATCCTAGTTCTGGAGAGACCTCTGTCACATCAGCCGACTGCTCCATCCTGAGTAGTTTGCAGCCTCCTGCGAATTCTCTGCCTCCTTCCTGCTCTTCCCATGCACAGGTGCCTGCTCCCTCTGGTGCAGATTCAAGCCTCCCTTCCCCACAACAACTTAGCGCTTTGTTTTCACAGTTTCTCCCTGACAGGGAGTCTCAGGGTGGTTTTAGATTTTGTACTCTACTGCACAAGTGAAATTATTACCATTGCCAGGTAAAGGGAGCACCTCTCCAGTATGCCAAACACTGTCAGCCTGTTTTGCAGATGGCAAAATGGAGATTCAGAGAAATCCAATCGCTTGTTCAAGCTCTCACAGCTACAGCTGGTGAACAGAAAAGCCTGAATCCCAGTTGAGACTCAATGGAGGATTGGGCCAGATTCTCCCTTCAGCCAGAGTTGCCTGGAGGAACCCTATGATGTTGGGGTGCTCCTTGTCTGCACTAACCAACAGAGTGGCCACATGAGTCTGTATATCACAATTTGAACATCTTACATTTTATTTTAATTAATTTAATTTGTATTTACATTTGCACACATGGCCAGTGGTTCTATATCAGACAGCACTCCTTTTTTAAAAAATATATAGTATATAAATGCTTTTATTGCTCTAGCTGGTATGGTTCAGTGGATAGAGCATCAGCCTGCAAACTGAAGGGTCCTGGGTTCAATTCCAGTCAAGGGCACATGCCCGGGTTGTGGGCTCAATCCTCAGTAGGGGTCATGCAGGAGGCAGTCAGTCAATGATTCTCTCTCAGCATTGTTGTTTCTAGCTCTCCCTCTCCCTTCCATTCTGAAATCAATAAAAAAAATTTTAAAAAAAGCAAATATAAATATATATACTCTTACTGATTTTTAGAGAGAGAGAGAGGGAGGGAGAGGGACAGAGAGATAGAAACATCGATGAGAGAGAAACCTCGATTGGCTGCCTCCTGCACGCATCCCCAGTGAGGACTGAGCCCAAAACCTGCCCCCACCAGGACTGGAACTGGTAACCTCTTGGTTCATGGGTTGATGTTTAACCACTGAGCCACACCTGTGAGACAGACAGTAATCCTTTAGAACCGGTTTATGGATCTGAATTTAGACTGAGCTTTTTACGAGGGAGAAGAGAGGGTACACTTAAGTGTCTCAAAGGAAGAGGGACACATCCCGATCCCTCACCTGGTGGACCAATGGTCCTATCCCAGGCTGCCCATTCCTGAAGCTCATCCTTGTGTATCCTCCTAGGACCTCTCTTCATTCCTGGTGGGGGCGTGCTCTGTCCTGCCTCAGCCAGACTGTACTCTAGAGAATTCTCTGTCCTCTCCCCTCCCCATCCCATTGTCCTAAGTCCTACTCATCATGGAGGTCTCAGCTGACATTATTCCCACCAGGGAGCCATCCTTGACCCTTGCATTGGGTCCACACAGCTCCCCACCCTTTCCTTTATAAGACTTGGCACAGCCATAGCGAAGTGTGTGCGCTGCTGGGCAGCCTGTCCTCTG